AGCCAATAGAAATGCAAAGAATTATATCTATGTGAGTCTATAATGTTGCTTTTATACAATATGAACTTATTAAATGCATACATACAGAGAGCTATTTAATTTGATAATTCATAATAGTTTGTGAGGGTTACAAGAATTTAATTAAGGCTTCTGAAATGTAATAGGGGAGGAACTACATTGTAAAAGATATGATTTTGTCATATCTACTGAAAGCCTCTGGTCAATTTGATCCAAAAACCAAACCAGAGATGGATCCCACAGAGAGATCGGACTCTTACGGAGAAATGACACACTCAATCCTTTACACAACATCATCGCATAGCATAGAGCATATTGTTGATACTCATGATTTGCCGTTATATTCACTCAAAACCTAAGATTAAGAAGGGAATTAGAGAAATTCAAACAATGGAAAATAGAAATGATGATGGCCGACGCCAGAGAAGCCGACGCTGGCTGGCAAGAGTGACGAAAACGAACGACTTGTTTTTCTCGTTGATATCGCCCACGAGAGAAAAGCAGTTATGCTTTGTGTTTTTGTAAAACCAGGTTGTACCATCTACTATTGAGCCTAATTTACAGTTAAACAAATAACAATAACATTTCAAATATTAAACTAATATAAACTTAAAAAAAATCATATGAAAAATAAAATAACAAAAAATTATAGCAATAAAAAACCAACAAAACAAACGTTACAAAAATAAAAATATAAAAAAAATTATAAACTTCCCGCGCATATATATAAATTTCTGTAAAATTAAATTTTTCAATTTTATTGCTGCCTATATATAGAGTTGGACTAAATATTGTGTTTAGATAATATATAATAACAAAAATAAATAGCTATCGTTAAGAGTAAACTATCGTTCATGAATCCAATTTAATTGGCTTTTCAAGACATATTTTTATTGATTTATATATGAAATATTTATCGAATTGACTACAAACGATTGTCGACGATATTTTCGGTACCAAAAAAGGTTCTTCCTATAAATCACGGATTAAATCGTATGTAGTTCATATATAAAAAATATATTTATGAATTAACGTAGAAGATAATAAATAAGTTTTTTTTCTTGATAAGAAATAAGATAAATGATTTTCTATCATATAGAAAGTAAATCGCTGACTGAAAAAAGTAGAAATAAATTAAAATAGCAAACATATAAGGGAGAGAATCTTCATAAATATAAAACAAATCTGGTCATAAACCGAATATATCAATCATGGTATCCATTCTATTAAATCTATGAAAAATTACACAACACAAAGGCAAACGAGATTGATACAATTCTCCTAGTCCTTCTTAAGAATGCAAAGCATAAATCATAGAACATAAATGTCAACACCATTAATCCAAACATTGTAATCTGAAAACAATTATAAAAACGATGAGATTAAATTAGATAATAAGATAAAAAAAATTTTGATAAGACTAATCTCTCATGATGATGGGGGCTCCTGCTTCCACAGCCTTGATTCTCTCTTGGATGAGTTTGAGCTTCTTTTCAACCACTTCGGCTGCTTTAACCAGTTCCTCTGAACAATCTGATTCGGTGGTTAGATCATTGGTTGAAGCCATTATCCCAAGATTCATAGCACGAGTATGCATCTTCTCCTTCTCCAACTTCTTCTCTGCGTCCTGAATCATCTTCTCCATGAGATCCTTTTGGTCCATCATGTATTTGATTTGTTTCTCAACTGGAAGCTCGCTAAACCTGTCAAGAAGAGAACGAACCTCGTTAACGTTTGGCCAGAGCTCAGGGCCATCCTTGTACTCGCTGTAAATGATAGCGCAAGCTGGTAAACCACAAAGGATGGTTAATTCATTGATCTTTTTCAGTAAACCAGCTTTGCGTTTTCGAAATGTAACTCGGCGAGTGGCGTTGTCAATGATCAATTGGTGTGTAACTTTTCTCCTACCCATGGTGAAAAAAAAAGATTGAAGAAGAAGGAGAGGAGGATTTGTGTGGTTTCAGATACTAATGGGTAAAATGTTATATAGATGACTTCTAGCTTTGATATTTTTCTACTAGGTCCACAAAAGATGTTTCAACACATTTACCTAGATACTTTTTAATATTAAAAAATTATAGAAAGGTTGTTACAGAAAAATACAAATTAAAATTAAGAAAAATAATAGCTATATATGAAAGCTTTCTATATAAGAAGACTTATATCAAAAGAAGTTTTACTTATTTATTATGTGTCTTTTGTTGGTTAGTCTAGTCAACCTCAAAAGAAGGAAGGTAATATTTTCCTATTAATGTTCCCATATCCACATGTAAAAAGGTTTGAACTCTTTTTTGGTTTCTTACACTAGACCAATTAGAAAGCTGATTTGATAAGTTGTAGTGATGAGTTGTAAATCAAGTTGTAATGTTAATACAAATTTATTATACTAACAACAAAAACATAATTTATCATACAGTAGGGTAAATGACATAAGTCAGTAAACATTTTAATTGGTAATCACGAAAGCCTATGTATGGACAAAGTAAAGCTTATCGTTTCTATTCTTTCACCTATATATTAGGCTGTAGTGACTATGGATATAAAAAGTATGCATATTTGTAAATACCTACTTATAACGCCCGAGTATATGGGTCTTTTCAGGATTGTTGAGCGGGTTAGTGTCGATCCCTAATTGTAACACCCCTGTCTGAAATTTTATTAGTGTCGATTAACACCAACAAATTTCGGTTTGACATGTTTGTTTTAAATTGAAAAATTGATTTGGGATGGTTTTGCTAAACCCTAAAGCTCATTTTAAAAGAGAAAACTCGACGCTTTGAAGGGTTATCAACCGCTTTTATTCTTTCAGAAGAGTGGAAAAAGTTTCTAAGTTTTCCTATGAAGTTCTATGGGCTTTTAGAGAGATTTAGGTGATGTTCTTGAGAGTTTTGACTAAAGGGAAGGAAGATTTTGTGGCTGTGGTGTTAAGAGAGTCTTGTGCTGCCTCTAATTGTGTTGCTTTCTTCATTGTTAGTTCTATATCAAAGTGAGTTCGTGACCATGGCTTATCTAAGCATTAAGATTGTGTGATTTGTGTTTATTTGATGTGTGGAGTGATTTTCCTTGTTGTGTTATGTGTTTCTGGTGTTTATGTGGCCTTATGTGGCTGTTCCTTGGTTGTGTCGGCGTGGGAGATGATGTGGTTGTGTCGCAGTGCATTATCGTGGTGGTGTCGACCGAAACCAGTTGTGGTTATCGACCGACACTAGTTGGTGGTGTTAATCGACAGTTTTCTGTGAGCGCTGTTTGTGTTTTTAATTGATTGGTTTGGATGTTTTTGGTATTATTAATATGTGATCATGATCTTAATTGCTTACTTCTATAGCCCAGTAGATGGGAGAATCGCTTCACTGAGTATTTGTGATAATACTCACGTATCTCATTGTGTTTGTGGTGCATGTAAAGTGTAACATAGAATCATGGCAATGAGGAGGAGGATGATCTAGGGTCTCGGTTATTATGTTTATGATTATGTTATGTTGTTGGAATGTAGATAGAAACATGCTAGGCGGTTGGTGTAAATTGTGGTGATCGAAATGATTGGTTAATTAATATTATGATTACTTAGAGTTGGTTTTGTTGTTTCCGTTGTACATGATGGTTTATTTACATAATTGCTGGATATTTGCTAATTTAACGATATTTGTTTATTGGATTGGTTTTCGGTTTATTTCTTCCGTTGGTTTAGTTGGTTAATTTTAAATTAATTTATTTGGCCATCTATGTCACCAAATTGCACTTATTTTTCAGTCAAAGGTCCTGAGAGAACTCAAGATGATTTGTAGTAGTCAAAGGATGGGTAAACATCCGGGAAGTGGTTGTCGGAACTTCGTGAATAAGGCCAAACAAAGGAAAATATCCGGGAAGTGGCCATCGGAACAGTGTGAGCGAGGCCAAAACACAGGGAAAGATCATATGGTGATTTGTAGCAAACTGACCGTCGGATATGGATGAGCTCATGGACCTAGTGAGAGGACGTTAGACCCGTTTAGAGAGGTGGGTACATGGGATGAGAGTGAACATGAGGCCCACTGGAGGGGTGACGGTCGGAGCGTTACATTTAGCTACGCTGTATATAATAGTTTTTATCCTAAACGGGGTATATTCTATGATAAAAATTTTAACGAGTCAGTATATTGCACATATATATTAATTATTAATTAAAGTGGACTGCTATGAAACATGTATAAAATATATGATTAATCTATTACTTATTCACCAAAAAAACATCTCCTTTGGATATACATATCTTTGGACAATCTTATAGATTAAGTACATATGGATTCAGTTTCTAAGTTTAGTAAACTTAATCACTAAACTATGTAATACTATAAATAGATGAACTTAGCTACTCTTGCTCTATTCTTGTAGATTCTAGTTCTCATTCTTTTTTTGTTTTTTCACTTGGTTTGATCTTCAATACTCAGTATAGAGATACAATTTACGACGATATCAAATTTATACAAAATTAAAGACGAAAACAAACAAACTAAACCACTGATAAATAATGTTAAGCATTTGAAATCATTATAATCGAGTCGAACAAATAATATAGTGAAACGATATTTTTAAGATACATGTGTATATTAAAATGATGTGTATGTTTTAAACATTAATTTATCATTACAAAATTGGCCAAAACAATTTACAAAAGAAAAAAAAAAAAGACTTCAACAGAACCTTATATTTTTGGCAAAAAAGTAAATCACAAGTAAACATAATAATTTTGAACCAGCCTGTTCTAAAGGTAACATAGTTGGTTTGCGCATAATATTTACTCAAATCACAACAGTTTACATTATAAACCCAAAGCTTTTTTCACTCTGCATAAAACACACAGGACTAAGAACAAGTGGATAGAGAGAAAGGAAGCAAGAGCCACGTTGCGACACAAAACCATGCAACCTTCAGTTTCTGTTTCCTCGACGCGTGTTACTTTGTTTCTTTGTGTTCTTCTCCAACTTGTCTACACACACACACACAAAATTTTGCCTCTCTTTCTCTCTCCGTCTCTGGTCCTTATTCTCTCCTCAACTTTGCTACTGAATCTGCCATGAGTTCTTTGCTTTCAAACTTGCCGCAACCTAAACAGGTTTGTTTCTTTCTTGTCCTTAGTTTCATATGTTAACTGATAAGGTTTGGTTTCTTTACAATTTGTTTGTTTTTCTTTAAAGTTGATGAAATTGTGGAGTTTGATGATGTTTTGTAAATGTGCTTGCGTGAAGTTTGTTTGGTCTGCATGCATGTTCTTGTTTCCTCTTAAGTATGTTTTGAGTCCAAACAAATGATTCTTCATGGCAGAATTGAAGACAGAACCATGAGTCGGACAATGGAGGAGTATCAATCTAATGAGAGTGAAGAGAACAAAGGAGGTTGGATTTGGAGTAAGGCAGTAAGTGTTGGGAAGAAGGTTCTAACAGCTGGTGTTGTAGTGTCTTCAGCTCCACTTCTTGTTCCTTCACTTGTTGTTGCCTCTACCATAGCCTTCCTCTCCTCTGTTCCTTTTTGTCTCTTCTTGGCTAACTATGCTTGTACTCAAAAGGTCATGAGTAGTCTTCTTCCTCCTGATACTGAAGAAACGAGTGGAGTTGACAAAGATGATGAATCTGGATTTGATGAGTACAGCAAGATTGGTCACCGTGAAGATGCGGCCGGAGTTGGTGAGGCTGCACTTTTCAGGGATTCGGATGAACCGGTTCCCATTGGGGTTGAGGAAGATAAGGATATGGCGAAAGAGTCAACGAGCTTGCTAGAGAAAATTAGGGATGAGGGTAGAAATGATAGAGAAACCTCTGAGAAGAAAGACTTACAAGATGATAAAAAGTCCGGAAATGACAAGTCGTCAGAGGAGGTTCAAGATCAGCCTGAAAAGCCGGAAGAGCCTGAAACTGGACGTGAAGGTTGTTGTTTCATTATGATCACTGTATGAAATTTTATTTTATGTAAAATAGTTTACTGATGTTTAAGGTTTTTGGCAGGTGAACTTGGGAGCACTAAAACTGAAACTTCTACTGGCAAGGATGATGAGGAAACATCTTCGAATGAGGTTTATACTAAATCCTATCATCTTGTGAGTTAGTAGCTGCATGATAACATCTAGAAATATCCCCTGCCTCTAGTTAAGTACTGGATAAATCCATGCTAAGTTTGTAATTTGCATGTATTCGAGATGGTCGTTGACTAGTTGCTTGCAACACATTTTTAATCTTATTGGTCAATAGCTATTAATTTTCACTGTTACATCTATATTGTTGTGGTTATAATTCTTTCTGTGGTGGTTATGTCCTCTAGTTATTAAGGTCATGGACTAGTCTTTTCATTGACTAGTGCCAATGGTGCTATATAATTGACTGGGAATTATTGTAAAATCATTCTCTGATCTCTTGACTAATGGTTCAGCCGATAGACCAAGCTAGTGGGGCACATGGAACCGGGGACGAGAAACGAAAAAACACAACTAAGAAAAAGAAGAAAACCGGGCGTGCAGGTAACCGGTTTCTAATATGTCATGTTCTGGAATGTTTAATTTAGAGGGAAGACTCTGTTCGTTCATTGCTAATATTGTGTTGTGCCATTAGCTAGACATGGTTTAGAATGTTTTGGTGAGAGATGTCTTGAATCTGCTCTTGATATGATGTATTTTCGTATGTGATGCTATTTTAGTAGAGTCCATTGTTTAGTTAGGCATGTATGTAGTAACATTTTTAACTAATCTCTGAAAATTGTGGTGGGGGATCCAAATGAATTTTTTAAAGTTGAGCTACAAAGAACATGGCTCTGATTGCGATCAACTGTTCTGCATTACGTTCGATTTTCAAAGGTAAGAGTCCAAGTAATCCAAGTATGTATGGTTTTGGATTTGCAGGTGTATAGTGAAGATCAGATATGGGAGAAGATGGAGGCATTGAGGAAGGTAGTAGGATACAGTGTTGCAAGGAGTGCCACATATGCAGAGGAGCTTCAAGCTCTCTATGTCTTCACTGGCGTGGTGGAACCTAGTCGCTCAAGTTTAAACCAGTTGGACACTCATGATATTGCATATGTTAGTCTTAGACTTCGCTTCCTCATGTCTGCTATCGGAATAATCTAGTTTGATGGTGTGTTTGTGTAGTAGGTTCATGACTCAAAAGTCTTAAACAAGTGTTGTGTACTAAACCTCAACTTTGTATGTACTTTTATTGCGACTTTTGGTTCTGATCAGTTTTATTTGTTTTGAATGTTTTCTAATATCCATTGATGGATTTACACATTTACACTATTACTAACCTGCAAGGTCATGAACTTTTGAATGTTACACATAGTATTCAAATACTTACAAGTAAAAGTGGAGAGAATCAGTAATGGTCCTTCCTGCGACTGACAAGATCACTAACCAGCTCATTCTCATCTTCACATTGTTGAAGCAGAGGCTTGTAAGCTGGATTGTGATCCACTACTACTCGTAGAATCTTTGCAGCTTCATCACTCTGCCCTTCTTTGTACAAAGCACTGCAATGGCAAAAGCTTTTTGTTTTCAATTGCGCGGGATTTAGTCATATATATGATTCTCTATCTACTTTCTAAACTCTCCATAGTGAAACTTCTATTCTGCTGTCATAGAGTACCTTGAAAGAAGCAGCAATGCCTCAAAGTAATGCTCTTTGCTTTTAAGATCACCGGGTTCTTGCAGTTTCGCTACTCTTTCCAAGTGTGTAATACCACTTTTCATTTTTCCCTGCCAGAAACACCAAATCTCAACTTCCAACCAAATCCACCATTATAGGTGACGAAAATTTGCAGAGCAAGAAAATAACAATAGGTAGTCTCTTAAATTTTGGTCAAATTGAAACTACGCGAAGAAGTTGTTATAACAATTGACATCCGATTCAGGACCTGAGACACTTTCATAACAGTCGTTTTCAAAAATGATTATCGGTCGTACCTGTTGCACATATGCAGCACCAGCCCACTGAGATGCAAGCATTAAAAGTTCAACATCCTCAGGATCAGATGGATCGCTATCAAGAAGCTGAGAGAAAAACAAAAGAAGTGTGCTGCTTAGTGAAAGATTCTTAAGCTCTTAATCTTACTACACAGTCAATAAGAAAGTAATATTGGTAAGTGTAAACGTACAAAAAAGTAAGCAGCAGAATTCTAACCTTGGAGATAGCAAGCTCCAAATATTGAGTAGCTTCTGCCAACTGCGTCTTCTGCAATAAAGCCTGTCCCATGAGAACCAAACCTCTTACATATCCAGGATCCTTTTCAAGAGCTAATCTGAAAAGAATAATTTACACATGAAGTGAATATCGCTAGACATGAAGGTAAAGAATAGTAGATGATCAGGAAGATACTCTTTAGAAATACACACCGAAGCAACTGAATGGATGTTTCTTGATCACCGTTTGACAAGACCTGAACTGAAAGCTGACACCAAATCCCCACATAAGAAAAATTGAAACATACAGGCTTACATGATCAATAGGAATACATTGTCCAACTACTTACAGAAAGAAGTTCTTCTGGTGTTAAAGTCTGTAGAGAAAGGGTCTGCTCTTGTGAGTTAGAGTCCACATACTTGATCACAGACTCGCTGATCTCCATGGAATGCCCAACGCTTGAAGAGGCTCCCTGACCCAGTAAACCAAGTTTTGCTCCTACCATAGGGTGCTTGAGAGATAATTGCTGCAGATTTGAGATTTCTCGTGAGGACTTTACACATATTAACAACCTCGACAAAGAGTCAATTCTTTATATGAGCCCCCAGTGCAGTTGCTAGCAAGTTTTTCTTTTCACTATCTTTAAAATCAAAAACTAAATCACTGGTGAACCCACTAAGACAACTCTCTTTTAATGTTTGAATCTGTTATTTTTAGCAAGTGCAGTCACTAAATAGATCTCATCAACATAATTGCATTGAGTCTACACAGAGGAACAACCTATCTGTCTATTTTAACACTTTAGTTTGGTATTTAATCTTCAGTTGCAGAAACAACATACAAGCAAGAGAAGTTTTCTTCGATTTGATTTATTTTAATGCTAACTACCATCATTCCCCATTCCTCGATACTGGGAAGATAAAACAAAGAACCGCATCTTCTACTGCGAATTCTGAAATGAGACAAGGGAGCATACCTGAAATATATTTACTGAGCTGTTGGTTACCCAATAGACAAGACTTCCCTGAAAAAGAAGAAAATGCTCATAAAAAAATGGCTCAGAAAAACAGAAGCATTAGTTCTGGTTCCATATACATAAAACTCTGCCGAAGTAAGATGAGAAGCAAAAATGAAGGACAATTCAGAGTCTCTAGGGAAAACGTTTTATGGAAGAAAACATATAGAATAAACTGAACAAAAGAAGTAGAGTCAAATAAACAGCACACACTGACCCATAAAAAGAAGTAAGAACACGTTTAAAGACAAGAAACAAGAAAGAAGGTATGGAAATTGGTAGAGAAAGACAAGAAACAAGAAAGAAGGTATGGAAATTGGTAGAGAAATAACCAAAAGTCTGAAAGATGAATATTTAGACAAGAATAAGACGGCCAACAGATTTGTAGAGTAAATTATACTGCGGAGAGAGATGGATAAAATTACTTACATGTGGTATAGCATAGCCAACAAAAAACAAAGGAACACTCAAGATCTCCAGATATAACTTGTAATACTGCAAAACAAAAACAAGTACAGTTTTGAGATTCTGGACGCATGAATCTAATATTAATAGCATACTGAAACATGGCATTAGTAATATCACTAACAATACCAATTTTCATGGTAGAAATAATTAGTGCTCCAAGCACACAAAACAAAATTGCGTAAGACGTAAGTAACCAAGGCTGCAAATAAGACTTGTTCAACTCACTCTCATGAGCATCCCGGTCAAGCCGGTAGTTTGACGAATTGTGGGAGAATCAAAAGAAATCTGGAGAAAAATTCAAAGTTAGAAGTATACATATATAAAAATGTAACCTATAATTTGAATACTCTATGGTAACAGTATGCAGAACAAATAAATTCTGAAAGTAAGAAGGTTAGTATGATCCATCGACACATATTTGAATAACAAGTAGTCACAATAACCTGTATGTTAATGTAATGGAAGCCAGCAATCAAAATTGGAAAGACTGGTCCAAAAGAGCCACCAGGAAGAGCACTTAAATTCTGGAACCACAAGGCACCACCCTGCAAAGAAAAGATAACAGGTCAGTCGCAAAAGCAACATCAGGGAATATTAAAGGACATATTCAGATCAGATATGCTCAATCCTAGTACTAAGATCTAGATTCCATATGAGAGTCTACGTACAACAACGAAACTAAAAATTATACAAATAGAAAACAAGTCACAAATAATGTTGAGCATATATGTCACATGTCCTAAAAAAACTGTACTTCAGGTATAAAATACAAAGGAAAAATACAAGCAATATAACAAGTCTTGTCAACATTAAAAACGCCGATTTAGCCTACTCTTGTCAACTCAGATAGCAGCCATCTATACTGGCATTATTCATCAATCGCCACTTGCTAACACAGACCCAGATAGATATTCTAACTCGACAAAAGAAACCAAAATCACCAGGGAAACTGCTAGTGTACCACCTGACACAAGCTAGCAGATTTTTAAACCAACTATGTGACTATACAAATTATTCTTGTGCAGTCTCAACTTACAGAATCAAACCCAGGATGACCATCTAGTGACATCTTCCGGATGCTAGCCATCAACAAGAAAAAGCATGGGAGCTGCAGATGAGGAAAGCAAATGGGTAAGTGAGAATGAATATGATGGAAACACATTAACTATTTATTAAATGTTTCAACATAGAAAACACCATATCATTTATAAAGAAAGCCAGAGATCAAGTAACATGAGAAGGTGTTATCAAACAGATATAAAAACATATACGATATGGATTTTTCTGCAAAAAAAATCAACTGTGATTGTAAAGCAGAATCAAAGTTCAATTGGGGCGATTAGTTCTAATAAAGAAGCTGCATACGACTCCAACCAACCACGCAAATTAAAACCACAAGGGGGCGAAAACATACTTTAGAGAAGAAAATCCAAAGGAAAATGGCAAAAACTAGCGCACTGACAAATGTGTCACATGATGAGAACCCAAGATCAAAGAATTCAAAGGTTGGCTTTTTCATACAGAATTTCATATTACATCCATATAGTTACTAGTTCGATCTCAAAACTCTTTATGTACTGATGTATAATTTAAAATCATCCACCACTCTCACTGGAAGCTCGATACATATAAGTGCAACAAGGAAACATTCAAAGAGAACTAAAACGAATAGAAAGCTGATATCTAAAAAGAATAATTTCCAAGTGAAGTAGTCAACAGAGTGTCTAACAAAGATGACTATACGAGACCCAAGATTTATAAAGCACGAGTGTTCTTGTTCAGATTTTCACAATAGCTTCGCTTACTACGGGAAAAAAAGAGATGAGCTGCAAATATAACGTTCGAGCTAGTATCTGGTATTGTTACCAACACAGAGTGTAGAAAACATCACAAAGAGAGGTCTTTTTACCTGGACCGATAAGTATGGGAAGAACCACAAAAACGAAGGGCAACCAATAGCTCGACTCTCTTTTAAAAAACGAGAAAACTGATCAATAGACCCTCTTAATGTTGGAGTCTCTGGGATCGGCATAGGCACTGTAAGTAAATGAAACATTAGGATTGGCTTCTTAACTTCATCAAGAATATACAGAACCAATCACATAGTATGCATCACAATCACCACTATCTAGAGCAACGCTTATCTAACTTGACATAATCACTTGCATACAAGTCCCATTGAAACAACTAAATCTAGCATAAAGGGATTAACTTTAGCCTCAATTCCATGTTCCCTAACAACTACAAAACCAAAAAATTAGAGAAATGGTACTAACATTGAGGTAACAACTCAGAAATGGTCTTCAATTTCTTAAGTTGAAGTATAAGTAAAGGCAACAAAGCTAATCTAACAGCAACAGTAGAAGATGCAATAATCATCCACCAAGGCAATCCTGTGAATTCATGAAACCCGTCGAGGAAATTTACGACGGCGAGAACAGGTAAAGAAGAATCATCGCTGGGGATGATATCTTGAGACCCAATTGGTAACTCTGGGCCAGTAGAGATGAATCGCCGGAGAGAGGGGAAACACGGCGGCGATGGTGACGGCGAGGGAGGAGGAGGATAGGAGATGAAGGGTTTAAGAGTTTGGGAAGAGAAGAGAGTAGAGA